AGTGATGAAACAGGCTAGATGCAAGGTGGGCATGTGTGTGATGAACAGAAATGGGAAGGACAACCCTGGTCCTGTGTCTTGATCTCCTAGCCCTGTCATCCTTCTGTTGGCTAAATTTGCATGGCTTTTTTGGCATTATTACTTTAACTATTCACCCAAAATATCAGTGGGCAAAAGATGCGAACTTGGAATCTTTGCTCCATGTCTTCAGATGATCTGGTATGCAGTTCTGGATCCCAATAGTTAACCTTTGCAACTACTTGGAGATAACATGGAAATGAAGCCTTAAACCTTGCTGCAATCACTATGAAACTTTCAATATCTTGTACAGCAAAATCAAAATCTCAGTTTGAAGTTCCTACCTGCGAAATGTATCTATGCTAGCTGCAATCATGGTGGCATGGAGTGTATCTGATGTGGATTAATGGCTTGTTAATCTAAAAAGATTTCTCTCCAGTTCCTAACTGATGAGGCACAGCACTAGGGACAAGCCACCTCACGTCTCTGCGCCGTGGTTTCTCTGCCCTTTGCAGGGGGGATAACTTCTAAGGAAATTCATCTTAGTTATGGACTTTTTAAATAATTCTGAAATGCTCTTGATGTTAAGAGACATAGAAGTGCAAACACTGTCATTTACTAGTTTTATTGATAACTTGGTTGCATTCTCAATTGTATTGCTAATATCTGGGATAGTTCCTCTGACTTCAAGAACTAACTGGAGTGTGTAGTGTTTTCATCTGCAGTTGCTGAGAGTGTGAAATGCTGAGACCCTTAGAAGTTTAAGATTTGATCATCTTCACTGGAAGCAAGGCACACTGCCAGCTTGTTAAAGGTCTGCAAATAAAGCCCCACATGGTGCCGTTAGCTGCTATTTTCACAGCTTTGAATTCTTGGCTCTAAAATTGATACCGCTTTGCTGCGAACTTGCCCCTTCTGCTGCATTGACTTTGAGAAATGCTGCTGCACTGACTGTGCTCTGGATTTAACCCTTTGTACCTAGAATGTCTGCTGAGCGAGTACAAAATTGTCAGATAGTTCATGTTTAAATCAGTAGGTGAGAGCACCTGTAGCAGGGTGACCTGATCGGTCAGTGTCCAGTCTGGATCTTCAGCATAAAGGAACTGATGTAAAGGCATCTCCTTGGAAACACAAAACAAGACTAGCTGGAGATGAGGGTGGGAGAGGAAGGAAGCAAATGTCCCTGTGATAGCACAGGGGTGCGGTGTACTAAGTAAGGAATCAGCAAAACAGCATTGGGCTAAATGTTTAAGCCAATTGTGTACAGCAAGTGAGAGAGATTATATTCAAATCTTACACATAAAAACAGTTTATTTACATCAGTAAAAAATAATTTTCAAGTTGAGGATCAACTTACAAAACATATTCCAAAAATGCTGAATTCACGCCAATGTTATCAATACCAAAAAAAAAAAAAAAAAGGGGGAAGAAAAAGGCTATATAAACTCTTATTTCCTTGGGCTACATACTATGTTACTCTCAACCTCTTGTTTACAATACATATTAAAGACAAACACCTTGTTGGCAGCAGCCCCATACATTTACTGCACTGAAGAGTCAGCTATATGCAGTTGTAAGTCTGTGCTGCAAATTCGTGAATGGCTCCCGGAGAAGACCTGTTTCTTGGACATAGCACTCAGTTTGCTTCCACGTCCTTGCGGCAGCGTCACTCCAACCTTCAGAACCTGGGTTTGCGTTGAAGCTCCTGGACACGGCAGCCTCAGGCAGTGCTGGAGGGACCCTGTGCCCTGCCATCCGCGCGTGTGCTCTCTCTCCAAGGGAGCCTGGGTTCCAGGGAAGGATGGTGTGATTGCCTCCAGAGCCGGCCAGCACGCGGTACCGAGGCTTCCTGCTTTGCTGGAAGCCAGCCTCCTGGCTGTCGCAGGGAGGAGTTGCTCTGTGTGTTGCTCCTGTACCACAGAAGAATTTGATGTTGGGGATAACAAATCTCAAACACATGCAGAATATATTGATATTTTTATGGTGCAAGAGAGCTACAATACTAATGAGAGGAGAAAATAGGCCTGCGATTTGTTCTGCTGCTGCTTTCTGCTGTATCTCCCTGATGATTTCCTAGTTGGACTGGGGCGGCACATCTGCCTCTGAAGAGAACGTGGATGTGACAGGATTTCCTAGCTGTGCACTAGGGGAGTAGCTATGTTGTCACCTCAAGCTTACAAGCCCTTGCTGATCCAAAGCACCTGTTTTCTGCACATTACTTCTTTATTTCAATACCTCCTTAAATATCATGATTAAGATTTTTCTGTTTCTGTGACATAAAATGGCACTGAGTTTATTGAAGGATGGTTGTGATTAAGGCAGTAGATTAAGACTTGGAGTTCAGTATCAAGGGTGTCTCTTGTACAGCATAAGACAAGCTTCAGTTTCTCTTCCACGACAGCAAGAAGGAAGGCTTAAAATTTTGTGTGTGGGTGAAGTGTTCAGGTACTACACTAAGCTACAAAAAGAATGAAAAAAACAATCCTAGCAAACAGGATTATATATGGCTCTTTCTGGATATTGTCCGTTTCAAAAGTTGCTTATGAAAACATGTCTAGACATTAATTAAAAAGATGTATCTTAATTCTGATGATAAACTAGTACTTTGAGGAAGATCCAGTAAATTCTGAAGCTATATTTTAGCAGGTGCTGTGACAGCCTAGGATTAGCTAATTGTAAATAACTTGTTCTTTTTATTTATTCTCAAACAATGATCTGTCTGGACTATTCAGTGAAATTACAACAAATCTCCTCAAACTCATTAAATTGGAATATAAACCTGTTTCTGGGAGAATAGGATTCTCTTACATGCCAGCATTCTGTTTTTTTTCTATTTAAAAAAAAATATAACATGTCCTTAGGTGCTTCAGTATTTATAACATGGTTTGATTGGGCTATTACAGAACTACTCTAATCAGGATTAAGCCTTGTATCCTGGGAATTAGGGAGTGATGAGCTTATGTGATAGTCAAAAGTGCTTTAGAAGATCAAAGCCTTTTTGTGAGAATAATATCGTTATTTTATTCCTGTAAAAGAAAGATTTATTTTTAACTTGTATTTCAACATATTCTCTTTCTGCATGGCCAAAAATAGCTAGTGTAAAGCCTTTCAAATAAAGATTATTCCTGAAAGTTTACAACTCCTTTATCTAAATAATGAAACAAAGGATTTGGCTACAAGCTCTGACTTTGTAGAATCATCTGCCTCAGACCTGCCAAATGGCTAAGAATGTCTTTTGCTAAAGATGAATTTTGGTGTTAAATCATAAAACCTAATCAAAAGAAGAAGCAGCTGCCTACCACCCTGCAGATATAGACTGGGATGTTTGGGGTCAGTCTGGGTTTCTAGGTGTAACAGAGTTGTGTTGTTTCCTTTTGGTAAAGTCTGATGCAGTAATTTGGAGGCTTGAGTAAGACTGTTTCATCACTGCGGGGTCCCAGTCTTGCCTGTGCTTTTGGTCCTCTGAGGTGCTGCTGGTGTCACTCCCTCTGCAGCCGCTGGCCCACAACGTAGAGGTCGGAGTGAGAAGCTGCCCTACTGGACTCTCTGATTTCAGAGGGGCAGGGGCTGTTCCAGGAGTCACTTCCCTTCCTGGGGCTCTCCTCCAAGCTGCTGAAAGAAAGGTGCTTAAGTTAAGAGGTTAATGAATTACGACTTTTTAAAACAATGCTGATTACACACGTTAACCCATTAAGCACAAACTGCAGAGTTCTGTGTAATTTCCTGTCTCCTCCTATGTACGTGGTCACACATGATCTGGATTTTATTCTCCGTATTCTCTTCATATTCCCTCCTTTGTGACGCCAAATGCGTTATCTTATCCTGTATCTTCCTGCAACTCTCTTGGAAAACAAATAGTTTGAATGCTTAGCAGGGGATTGGCATGAATTTGAATTAATCTGTGGATAAGAGTTTAATAAAAGTCTTGTTTCAAACCCAAATTCCCCTGGAAGAAAGGTCTTACCTTCATTGTGTGGGGTGTTTTTTTTTTTTTTTTAGCCTCCTTCTGTAATTTTTGAATATTCGTGGCGTACATCCTCTGGTGATACAAACCTCCCACCTTGCAGCAGGAAAAATGAAATACTGGAAGGGTACATGATATTCCTGAGGCCACACAGGCAATCTCTAAGGGCACAGGAACTTAAACAAATGTCTCTAGAGTTTTAGAGTTTACCTACACTTTTGAAAAATCAAGACTGGTTATGGCAGAAAAGCTATTCATGAATATTTCACTCCATGGGTAATATGAAGCATTAAAAGCAGTTTAAGCTAAATGAGAACATATTTCAGAGTTATTTGGGAATCATTTTTGTATTTTTAGTACATAAACTGCCTTAATCTGAATTAGCTTTTGACTATAAACAAGCTGTTACATTTGTATTTTAGCTGCTGGGGCCTTAATGACCTGAATGATGAAGAGAAATGTGACCAGCTGTAAAACTGTGACCCAGATTCAAATACTTCCAAATGCAGAAGGTCTCGCTTACACTGCTTGCTTTGCACCCGACTCGCTGAACCCAATTCCTTCTCACCCTCCAGCCCCGCTGCTTGAGCAATAACTCCGTAGCATTTAATCTTTTATCTCTATTATACCTCTTGAGAGATTAGCAGCATCACTGAAATAATATTTTGTTTAATTGCACACACAGAAATCCTATTGCAGATTAAAAGGATTTCTGTGAGCAGAGCAATTGTACATTTTATGCCTTGATAATATACCAGTAACTGTTGACGGTCATCAAATGACCAAGCTTAGAAAGCAGCAAAGCTGTTCAAAATATCAATTGTGACAGCCTGAGCACTGAACCCTTAATTCGAAAGCCATGTTCCAAATACCCTAAGACTAATACAAAAGTTCTAGCACCAGCTCTGGGTAGTGCTAATGGTATTCTAAGTCTTGATATTTCTTGAAGAATTGCACGGGAAGGAGATACACTTGGGAAAGGAGCATTTCCTCCCTTGTAGGAGAATGGTGAGAGTGCAGGAGGACCTGCAAATCTACATATAGCAGTGACATTTAATGCTGGCAGTGCTAGCGAGCAGCGTGAGAGGGAAGTTGCCTTCTCTCCTGATGTTGCTGCTAAAATAGGGTGGGTTGGAGAGCGGACTCAGCTCCCTGATGCATCAGGGAGCATCAGAGATGTTGCTTGTACCAGCTCCTGGCAGATAATCTCTAGCAATCTGCTAAATCTTCCCAGAAAATGGATGTTTTAAATGTGCATGCATAGGTGGAGGGGCATATCTCAGAGTATGGAGAAGCACCCGAGAAACTGGCTAAATCTGTGATTCTCAAATTGTTTCACCCATAAAACCTGCTATTACAGGTTTGCTTTTTTTCCTCCCTTCCATGGTGTGACCAGTTCCTGCAATCTTTAATGATGAATATATTTTTTTCCTTTTTTCCCCTAATTTCCTACCTTTTCCCGATCTGAAAGTATCTTTTACTCATACAGCATATAATATCTGTCTGGTGTGCCAGGCCAATGTACTACTTTGGAGAAAATACCCGACTTCTGTAATGTTTTGTTTCAGGATAAAACTTAGCAATCAGTGGCTGTTATAAGACTTTAGAGAGTGGAAGTATTGTCTGTCCATCAACATGGATAACGTGGGAATGATAATCTCTGAGGGGGTTGTTAAATGTTCCAGGTTTTGCTTCCTATCCTTAGTGAGGTACCTATTGAGGTAGCAGGGAGAGATGTATGGAAGAAAGGGATGTTTTGGGATGTGGAGAAGCCCACAGGGCAAGGATGCACATCTGAGTGATGGGTCCTTTTCATCTCTGTGCTTGGCCTTTTCCACATCAGGCAGTCAGCATTAGGAGGAACTGTACGTGTTTCAAGAGAAGCTCCTCTGCGTAGAGGAGCTGGAAAGGAGCTTTGAGCAGGTCACTGAGGGGTTGCTAGCCTAAGGGAAGGTAGGAATATGTGTGTGTACATATGTATACAGGGAGACGGTCATAGCACTCATCTGGGAGAAAATGCATCTGAGAGTATGAAGAGGCATTGCTATGCTGGTAGAGAGGAAGAGCAGGGAAGGGATGAAGGAAAGGAGACTGGGCATAAATTGCCTGAGAAGCTGGGATTGGATGTGTGTGTTCTAGGAGCTCACAGCTACGGC